CTTTGTTCATCCCTTCTTGTGTAAAACATTTTCTTTCCTCCAGTATGTATTTCCATAAAGAGGGAGTAGTAAAATCAGTGTCAGCACTTGAGAGTTTTTCCTCCCCATCAATTTATTAGTGTACTAGGTCCTCCTCCTCAGGGTCTCCCGAATCAGTGATGCATCACAGTGTCTCTGGCTCAGATATCACAGACTGTCTGCTACATCCTGATTTTTTCTTTTTATTGCCATTACCTAATCAACATGTCCAATAAACCTGTGACCATGATATTACATGTGATACTGGACTTCATTTCTGAACATTTTCAAACAAGCAGTTTTCATTACCTACCCATTTCTTCCTCTTAATTTGCTAATTAATTTCCAGGCTTATGCTGGAGTGAAGAAATTTTATCCCATTTGCTGCTGAACAAGCTAAAATAAGGCATGCACCACTGCCAGCAAGGATTTCCTAATGACTTCCTAGTCTGTTGTTTTAATGTGCATGCATACACACCGAAGAGAGGAGTGTCCCAGCCCCAGAAATGTTGATTGTTAACTAATGGAAAGGATGAATTGCATGCTATTTGGAGATGCTGTACAGCATAAAGTACATGGTCACATGCTTCCCACATGGTTATGAGTACACTCAAGTTAAGCAACTCAACTATTTCTTTGGTTGCATGCACAGTAGTAAATTAAAGAGCCAGGGAATGTTCCTAGACACAGAAATCCAGTAATTTCTAGCACTAAGTTTGTAAAATGGCCCCTGGTGCTTCCTGAACAACTTTCAGGTGCAGCTTAGGAGTTTGAAAAGGGCTCTTGCCTGTGCTAATTGCCAGCTTAAGAGCAAACTTCACGTTTCAGATGTCATTAGTTTAAAAGAATTTGGACATAGGCTGCTTTGTGTCAGTGTCAGAAAGGCTCCATCATCAGTTAGCCTACTTGAATAGATTACAGCCTTTAATATCACTCCATTATATATGTCTATATATGTAATGATATATATATATACACACACACACACGTTTCCATTCCAAGTTGTTACTGGTTTCCTATTTAATCTCCACACATTTCTGTACAGGAGAATAAATACATGAAATATTAAGGTATGTTCAGATACTGGTGTGCTATTTGGCATATTAAATGGAGGAGAAAGTACGTATGTCTACATTAAGAGGCAATTCAATGCATTTACAATTAGGGTGGTAAAACACTGGCACATATTGCCCACAATGGTGGTGGATGCCCCATCCCTGGGAACATTCAGGGTCAGGTTGGATGGGGCTCTAAGCAACCTGGTCCAGTGGTAAGTGTCCCTAACCATGCCAGGGGAGTTAGACTAGATGATC